AAATTTTAAGCCATTATGAAGGAAAAGTGAGGGACACTAATTGCCTCTGGAGATTATGCCCATTCTTAAGGATATCAGCTGCTAAAATTTTCAAGCCAAGACGTACAATAGGTGGGACATTCTCCTTAGGGGACTAAACAGTTCATCTTAATTGTATATTTTCTCCACCGCACTTGATAGAAGGTCTTCCATCATAAGACTATTGCAAATTACACAGCAGGATGCCAAGTATTTCCAGTTGTTAGCAAATGTGTTGACTGGATTCCAGTGGTTGCCCAAGAAATCCTGAATAATACACTTTTTACACCTGGTGCATTAAAAAAAGATCTCATTATAACCCATTATTGTAATGGGCAAACGAATGCCAAGAACATACTAATTACTGTATACCAATAATGAATATAATGCATAATGTAGCGAGTAGTTTGCATTTCAACTGCTTCACAAAATTCTTGTAAGACTAACCAGAAAGAATCTGGCTGGACTTTTGAAAAAATATTCAACTTTTTTTTTTTTCCCTGTAAAATTTCGCAATTCCAATTAATTCCTGATTTTTTTATGACATAATGTTATAGGTTTTTAAAAAGTAGTAATTTTTGGAGTGACATTAAAGACTTTATCTACAACTAGCATGGGTCTTCTTTAAAAATATTACAGGTTATGACTTCAAGAATATAAAATGACCAGCACTGTTGTACAACTTCAAATGACAGCATTTGAAAGAAAGTAGAAACAAAATATTGCCCTGTACAAAGTACACCCATTAATGACTCTAAACAATTTCAAATATTTCCATTTTAAAATCAATATAATACAACTGTAAAAAAGAATACATTCTTTCCAAAATTATACCTTCTTTAATATTCATGCAACAAGTTTGAAATGGGCTAATCTTGTTGGAATGTTTGGGTTTGCTTTCAGCTGGAGAAACAAAATTAGGGAAGCAGCAAAACCAAATAGCACCACAGCTATCAAATAAATTATGTTATAAATAGCATTGAATAAACTAATAGTGGTAAATATAAGACTCTACTTGACTGGCTCTTCACTGTTAATCAAGATTCAAATAGAATCATAGAATCATAGAATATCCTGAGTTGGAAGGGACCCATCAAGGACCATCAAGGCCAACTCCTGGCACCACACAGGTCTGCCCAAAAGTTTAGAGCATAAATGCTTTGTCAAGCAAATGCTTGGATCCCCTCTCATTCAAATTTTGAAGAGATCATAATAAAACCCACAGAGTTTAGAAGAGCAGAGTTTAGAAGCCAAAACTCCCAGAAGGTTCCTGTATGAAAAAATAAGTACTAACTGTTCCTGAAGAGAAATGTGAATCTATTTCAATATTTTTTCCTAATTATGTACAGCAAGTAAATGTTTTGAAAACTATGTCAAATGGGAGGTAATTGTTGCCAGAAGATGAGAAGGGGTCATTGTTAAAGTGGTACCATGTTAAAATGGTTTTATGTTGCCAACACTAACTTGAGTGCTCCAGAGACTAAAACAGTCATATCCAATATACAAACCTAAATTCTACTAGTGGAATGAAGTCATTGTGACTCTTTTTTGCACAGATGCAACAGCTGTCTATCATAAAAATCTGTATTCAGCTATCTTAACAGTGGATTTTTATTTTAATGAGGGATGATTTTGTTCATTTTGCAAATATATCTTACTCTACACACTATTGATTTCAGTCAGCTGAGCTGCCAAACATGGATAGTGAAGTCTGTGCACTGAAAATAATCCTTTTTAAGGAATTAAAAGAATACTATATATCTGCACTATAGGAATCTGATTTATAATGTAGCAACTCAAGTCTAGTTTTGGTGTTGTGAAAAACTAGAAGTAAGCAGATTAGGTCATATAACATTGATATTTATTAGATGTCAAATGCTAACAAATTTTTGCTTGATGAGAGGAGTCAGTCATTTGAAAGAGAACACCTTTCAAATGTCTTTGTTCATCTGTGTAACTTTAAAATGGCTGCCTTTCATATTTCAGTTAAAGATGATTTTTTCACAGGTTAATGCAGCCCTCTAAACAACATTTACTCATGGACAGCCAGTAGCTATATGGACAGAAGTAGATTTTGTAATGTAGACTCTACTACATATTCAAGAGGAAGAAGCTCCATAGACATTTACTTTTCGAAGATATGAATTTGGAATACTTTAAATTTGAAGTATTTATCAGATTCAGTCTGTCAGATTCAATACATTAGTTTACTCTGTTACAGAAATATAAAAGAACACTTCATGTCTCAGTGCAAAGTACCACATTCTCATCTGGTACTGATCAAAATAACTGAAGGAATCTCAGTTGATGCCAACAGATAAACCAGCTACAAGTTTTCTTCTTCCTAGTATATCAGTGAAGAGGAAAGTACTGGGTTCTGGACTTTTCTTCTTTCTCTTTTTCTCCACCAAAACTACATAATATTTGCAGTGATATGGCAGGTAATAACACTATTTATATTGTTTTAAAAATTAAACACTTTAAAGATTTCTATTTCTTTCTTATGTTCTAAAATAATCCCATTTTCTTTTCATGCTTTACTTTATGATTCAGATCTTCCCCTATATTTCTTTTTTTCCTCGACTAGTTGTAGTTTCATTTTCCTACTGTCATTGCTATTGCTACAATGAAATGAACTTCACGAAGAGTCACACACATTTATTTCCTAATTGTTTTGCAGCTGCATTTCTCTTTATAGGTACAATGCAATATGTCTTTCAAACCTCCTTCTTCACAAGTTTGAAATTTCTAGCATGCTTTGTTTCCTTATTTTGAAGTATGAGTCATTTTAAATTAGGGCAAGAAGAGTCATGTCAGTACTGAGCTCTGCTGTATCGCAATGCTGCATTTATACTTGACAGCATACAGTAGGTTGTAGGAACTAAAATGTGTTTCTCTTTTCTAATGTGCTTTCATTCCTGGTTCTTACTCTTCACAATTTATTTTACTCCCCACAGTTCACATTAATCTAGAATTTATCTAGTCTCAGCTTGACTTTGAACTGCCTGTTGTCTGAATATCCTAAGTCCATGGGCTCAGCTTTTCACTTTTTCAGCTTGTCTCTTTACTCCCCACTGGTTTATCATATAGATAAATGCACATAATGCATTATTATGGCTGCCTGGTGCAGCGGTGCTAACTTCCCCTACCTCCTAAGGCTAGGATATTCAGTATGTTCAAAAGTGATGCTTTTCCATATTACCATTCCATGAGTATGATGAACAGGGAAGGAAAGAGCTGCTTAGTGGCACTGAGAGCAGTGCCATTTACTGAGGAAAACACAAACACTTGCATAGATATAGATGGATATAGCAGTCCTCTATTTTATTTTTATATGCAAAGTTCCTTTCCCAAGTTGTAACAAGCTTCTCCCCAAACTGTGCTAAATTCTTCCCACAAGTGGCTTCTGTAAGATGTTCTACAGAGTTTTGGACCAAGAAGTCTAGAATCTCCTCTTCAACTTAGGCAAGATAACAAATACTTAGTAAAGAATGGGAAATTGATAAACAATGTAGATCAACAATGTTGATCTATTTCAATAGATCATACCATTTTCAATAGTATTTCTTTTCACCTTTCAATAGTACAGGCATTGTCAAACTTGGAGGCTCTATCCAAAGTCTTGCATTTAATGGACATCATGGGAACAATTCTCCATGAATTTACCTTTTTCTTCCTAAATCTCTCTATGCTTTTGATTTTATCCTTTGCCTGGTAATCTCATAAGGGGCCTCTTACATTTTTGTGTAATGAAAAGAATCAAACAATCAATTTAGTTGCCTTCTCTATTTAGCTTAAATAGCTCATAAAGCAGAAAAAAAATAGCTTTTAGCATGAGCTGGACACAACATGTATTTGAAAATGGTAGGACATGAATTATCTGTGCTCACATAAAGTGCAACCAGAAATTAAAAAAAAAAATACAAAAAAATACTACTCAATAAAGATATTTATATTCTCAACTATTTGACCAAAGTTATTATGCTTTCTGAGCTAAATGTTATAATCAGAGGTCATATCCAATTCTTAAACAGTTACTGCACACAAATAAAAATGTAAACTAAAATCCTTATAAACTGAGTACCATTTGTGGGAAACAAACAAAAAAATAACACACATTACACACATTATGGTTTCACAAACTAATTTATTTGTATCATAGTCTTCTGAGTGGAGTTTTGCAAGTTATCTACTTTAAGTTCAGCAGTTTCCCCCTTGTTTCCCTTATTTGCTGAGAGAAGAAAATTACTGGCATGCTAATACATCAGTATTTCAAATGTAGATTTTCAGAATCCAAATAAGCAAATAGTTAACAGCTGTTTTCTATTTATGGTTAAAAGTGCCAAGAACTTGAAGAAAATGACATAAAAGCAAAAACCATAATTCTTGATCAAGAAAACAAACCTGCTCAGTGATAGCCAAAGTATAGCCAAATAGCCAAAACATTAGTGAGGAAAATGAAGAAGAGAAGGGAAATAACTAAGCCAGAATCATTTTTTAGATAAATTCTACCTAACTACACTGACAGTGCAGCAGCACATAGGAAAAAACAGATCACACTTAAAGGAATATTACTGCTTCATATAAAACCACTTTTTTTTTTTTTTTTTTCCCCATACCAAATCCCCCCCATCTCCAATCAAAAGCCTCTTAAAGTTTGGCTCATAAAGTCAACATAGGGCTTGTTCCTTCATCACTGCAAGGATGTTTATTGAACTCTCGAGTCCTAATCTTGCATGCTATCAGGTTGCTAGTCACTCAGCAACCAATCTGTCATCTTTACTCCAGTTATAAAAAGTTTTATAACCTTTCTGTCTTTAACTAAGGATTTCTATCCTTTCACTCTGCTTCTGTGTTGGGAAATAAACGAGGAAACGCAGGAAACCCCTACACAACCCTCCAGCTTAAAACACTTAGAACTTGTATAGCAAGTACTTTATGCCCAGTACAGCTGCTGGCAGAGAAATTGGCTCCGATCTTACCTCCCACGTCTCCTGTAGCTCAACCGCTTCCACTGTGTAGTTGTTTATTTCTCTTTTCCTTTCATATCCCTGACCTTTTTTCTAATGTGTTGAGCAGAGTTTGGAGTCAGAGTGATGAATGAGATGTGATGATGAGAATTATAGTAAGGGTGCAGCGTGCAGGGTTCTTTCTCGGGCAGCATAGTAGCAGACGGAGGAGGGGGGAAGTGGAAATCTGACAGGTTTAGCTTGCTGACAGCCCATGTTTATAGGCTCTGTAAAGAATACAGATGAGACAGAGGAAAGGCAGAGACGACAATGACATAATAAATCTTAGCTACTGTGTTTTCAACCCAAAAACATGAAGAAATAAAATCAAGTTTGGGATGCTGTTAATGGTTTGGCTGTCACTGAACAAAACCTCTTCACTGTTTCTTTAGATTAGATTAATAAATACACTACACTGCTTTGTACATACTTCTGCCATCTGCACAGAAAATTGCAGCCCTCTCTCCCCTTTGACGGCCAAATACTTTAGGTAATGAGTTAGCCATTCCGGTTCTGATACACAGTTTGATGTATCTGCATACTTCTCCTAGCATAGAGGAGAATCTTTAATTAACGTTTCAAAATGCTTTGAAAACTAAAAAATAAAAATAAAGAGAAAGGGTAAGAATAACAACCAGCCTTCATTATGAAAGCAAGAATCGTCAGCTGCTTCAAACACTGTATGTTTGACTTTAGTAGAGCTATGCCAGTTTATACCAGGTGAATTTCTGGCCTCTAGCTTTAATTTGGAAAAATTCCAAGTAAACTTTCAGTAAATTCCGAGTTGCTAAACAAAGGCTTCAGGATTAAAGCTAATACCATTTTTTTAAATGTTCTGTTGTCCTTCTTTTTCTTTTTTTTTTTTTCTCTTTTTCTCTTTTTCTCTTTTTCTTTCTTTCTTCTTTCTTTCTTTCTTTCTTTCTTTCTTTCTTTCTTTCTTTCTTTCTTTCTTTCTTTCTTTCTTTCTTTCTTTCTTTCTTTCTTTCTTTCTTTCTTTCTTTCTTTCTTTCTTTCTTTCTTTCTTTCTTTCTTTCTTTTTCTTTCTTTCTTTCTTTCCTTTTCTTTCCTTCCTTCCTTCCTTCCTTCCTTCCTTCCTTCCTTCCTTCCTTCCTTCCTTCCTTCCTTCCTTCCTTCCTTCCTTCCTTCCTTCCTTCCTTCCTTCCTTCCTTCCTTCCTTCCAAAGCTTAACTACCAGATACAATAAAACTTGCATTCATTGTTTTGAATACATGCAACATGAAGATAGCTCATCTGATGTAATCTGACCATCCACCTTAACTCCAAAAGGCTACATCCTGTAGACAGATTTTTGCTGTTCCATTTATTCCTGCAAGATCTACAGCTTTTCACAATTCCCTGGAGAGGAGAGGAGAGGAGAGGAGAGGAGAGGAGAGGAGAGGAGAGGAGAGGAGAGGAGAGGAGAGGAGAGGAGAGGAGAGGAGAGGAGAGGAGAGGAGAGGAGAGGAGAGGAGAGGAGAGGAGAGGAGAGGAGAGGAGAGGAGAGGAGAGGAGAGGAGAGGAGAGGAGAGGAGAGGAGCATGTAAACTATCACGGTAAATATTTTCATTATTTTTTAGCAATTATTATCATCACATAACAATGAAACACAGTGATGGTAAGAGCAGCCTTGTACCTAATTACCGGCAAAAACAGAGCAAAAGTTCCGTCCTTGTCAGAACCTGTAAAATCTATGTCCCTTTTTATTCATTTGAGTCCAGTGCTAGGAATGGGAATTACAATACTCTCCTTCCCACACTTTACAGATTACCTTATTGTTGAATGTAATAAAGAAAATAAAGTGGCCATTACACCCAACTGAACTAACAGAAGAGGTCAAAGAGTACTTCATGAATTACAATTTAGCAAAAGAAACACACTGCAATATACATGTGTTTTCACTGCTGTCTTCTAACAAAGACATTTACTTTCAGGACAGCTTTCATGCTTTTAATAGCTGATTTGTTATGACAAAGATGGTTTGGCCTCCAAAATTGTGCCTGCCAACCTGCAGGCCTAATCCAAACCAGGGCAGCTGACCCATCCATTAGCATGCAAACAGAGTACCCTTAGTTTTACACTGTGTGAAAGGAAGAAGCATAGAGGACAAAAAGTGTTGTAGCTGCCCATTAGACCAATGTACCCTCATTGAGCCAGGGCTGCATGCTAAACTCATACAAAGTTAGACTTGTAGAAAGGGTAAATTTTAATGATAACTGGACTTCTTTAAGGCACAGAAGAAACAGCACAATAATCACTAACCATTTCTGTGAGCAGGAATGATGCTCTTCCTGAACTTGGAGGAAGGGGGTGGGGGTGGGGGGTGGGGGTGGGGGCAGGTAGAGGGGAGACAGGGAAAGACTTTTTAAGTTAAGATCTCAAATAATGATTTTGAGTTCGCTGTAGTCAGCAATCTACCATGTATCACCTTGATAACATACATTAACAGAGTTTATAAACTTTCTTAAATCTGCAGGTTAAAGAGATTTGTCTAGTATCTCTTAGAAAGACAAGAATCAGAACCTGGAAACTGCTTTCCAATCTCCTGACCTAATTCTGACATGATGTTGCAATACATGTGCCTGTTGCTTTTTAGCTGCTTGTCCTGAACCACAAAGTGCTACATTAAATGGTGTATATTTATTAGCTTCTTTATATTTATGTGGAATAATGTTATTTCATCTAGTCTCTCCAGATAAACAGTGATAATAAAACAAAAAGAAAATTATTTATAGTTACATTTCTTGTAATTATTTATTTTGATACATTAAAATGCTACCAGCTCTTCTCCCATAAAAATAAAGATGATATAGAAAAGAAAACATTGAAAAAATAATAGATTTATAAACAGAAAGAATAATGCAAATATATGAAGTAAAAAGAAAAAACACCACAGGATTAATCAATGTAAATATCTAGTACACTCCAGAAAACCAACCTTGTATATGTTCTCTGGAAACTACTGACAATTAATACAGATTTTTCATGGTAGTTACAGTTCAGTTTTTCCTGTATGTTCAGAATAGAAAATTGACAAATTGACAAGCTAAGCTCCAAGCTTTTACTGCCTGTGCCAATCCATAGAAACACAGTGGAATAAGCAAGACTGATTCTTAATTTTGGAATAGGGAGTTATTTTTTTACAATCAATGTGGTATGGTATTAATTTTAGCTCTTCTGATCTGCTAACTTGTGACAATGGTGGCCTTTAATGCCCATGCTTGACCTTCCCTGCTCTTCATAAGTGTCATGTTTCTTGCATGGGTTTATGAAAGGCAGGTCCTGCTTGACAAACCTGATCTCCTTCTATGACCAAGTGACACGCTGGGTGGATGAGGGAAAGGCTGTGGATGTGGTCTACCTTGACTTCAGCAAGGCTTTTGACACCGTTTCCCACAGCATTCTCAAGAAACTGGCTGCTCGTGGCTTGGACTGGCGTACGCTTTGTTGGGTTAGAAACTGGCCGTATAGCCGGGCCCAAAGAGTTGTGGTGAATGGAGTCAAATCCAGTTGGAGGCCAGTCACTAGTGGCGTTCCCCAGGGCTCGGTACTGGGGCCGGTCCTCTTTAATATCTTCATCGATGATCTGGACGAGGGCATTGAGTGCACCCTCAGTAAGTTTGCAGATGACACCAAGTTAGGTGCGTGTGTCAATCTGCTCGAGGGTAGGAAGGCTCTGCAGGAGGATCTGGATAGGCTGCACTGATGGGCTGAGGTCAACTGCATGAAGTTCAGCAATGCCAAGTGCCGGGCCCTCCACCTGGGGTGCAATAACCCCAAGCAGAGCTACAGGCTGGGAGATGAGTGGTTGGAGAACTGCCAGGCAGAGAAGGAGCTGGGAGCGATGGTAGATAGTCGGCTGAATATGAGCCAGAAGGACATCGAGGTGCTTGAGTGGGTCCAGAGAAGGGCGACGAAGCTGGTGAGGGGCCTGGAGAACAAGTCCTATGAGGAGCGGCTGAGGGAGCTGGGCTTGTTCAGCCTGGAGAAAAGGAGGCTCAGGGGTGACCTTATCGCTCTCTACAGGTACCTTAAAGGAGGCTGTAGTGAGGTGGGGGTTGGTCTGTTCTCCCACGTGCCTGGTGACAGGACGAGGGGGAATGGGCTTAAGTTGTGCCAGGGGAGTTTTAGGTTGGATCTTAGGAAGAACTTCTTTACCGAAAGGGTTGTTAGACATTGGAACAGGCTGCCCAGGGAAGTGGTGGAGTCACCATCCCTGGAGGTCTTTAAAAGACGTTTAGATGTAGAGCTTAGGGATATGGTTTGGTGGGGACTGTTAGTGTTAGGTCAGAGGTTGGACTCGATGATCTTGAGGTCTCTTCCAACCTAGAAATTCTGTGATTCTGTGATTCTTTGAGGTATAGAGCACCTCAAAAAAAAAAAAAAAAAAAAAAAAAAAAAAAAAAAGGCAGTACACAAACTGATCACAGAATCACAGAATTGAAGGGGTTGGAAGGGACCTCGAAAGATCATCAGGTCCAACCCCCCTGCCATAGCAGGTTCCTTACATGAGAAAAATATGTTTTCTACCAATCAATAATTATTTTTGCAAGCATAGGCATCTTTCTAGCATCTTCTTGAGAATGAACACAAAACAAAACAAAACAAACAAACAAAAAAATACAATACCAACCTAACCCCTACAGTCAAAAAATCCTTTTGTATTGTTTCTTGCTTCTCAAATATTTCTCTCTGGGGGTGTAGCTTAATAGTGAGAAAAAATTTGTGGTAGAAATATTAAATGTCTACCCACTGAAAGTCAAGCTGTCATCTCAGCTGGGGATGCTGACACTCAATGTAGTATTCAGCTAAATATAGAATGAGCGAGATGCTGCCTAATAGGAGTATTGTCAGTGTAACTATTTCTTCCAGACCTGGATGCTACCTTTATTCTTCTTCTCAAAATAGGATTTTCACTCTTTCCAGACTTTTGCCTAAATAAGAAGTGACTTTCTTAGTCACTTCTTGATCTTTATTTTTAATCTATTACATTTACATATTATATCTTGGTTATTTGCAGCTGCTTCTTCATTTTGTCTGCACTAATTCCCACCTTACTAAGTGGAATTTTAAATCCTAAACTTGCAAGTCTATTTATGTAATTAGGGATTAGGATGGCTCTGTTCAAGGTTTAGAGCAACTGGTGGTTCAACTTTAAAAAGGAGGATAGCAAAGAATTCTACCTGAGTAGAATTTATATTTTAATACTGAGTAGTATTTAGCTAATATTTTCTTAACATGAGGTTAGGCCTACCACAAGCTAAGCTCTTTCTGCAGTGCAAAGTCTAACAAGCTGGAACATCTAACAAAACTCAGTAGCTAATTAAAAAGTAAAAATTGTACCTTTTCTTGGCAGTATGATGTAGGGCCACCTTCTACATCAAAGACAGCAAGTTTGATGCTAACTTCTAGTTCAGAGTGGAATCAATGGAAATTATATCTGTGACATAATTCCAGTACTTCACATAAATCAAAGGGTTGGTTTGTCCCTGTATTGGCTTATTTACACTATTCATTTGACATGGAACCTAAATTTGGGAACCTAATTTTTCTGCGATATGTTATACATCTAGCAAATTCAGCTCCTGCCCTACCTCTTGTACTTTCGTAGCATCACTAGAATTCTTCTCTCGTGAAGACTGCATGATCTCCCTCATGGGTAGCCCAGGAAGGATCTCTTGCTAGTTGGTGGTGTGACTGGATATTGATCCCTTTCTCCTGCTTTCTTTTGCTGGATCTGCCTGCAATTTCTGATTTGTAGCAGGGAATTAGGCTGGATGCAAATAAAAGGGCTCCAAGGGGAACTTCTCAAGGCTCCCTGAGGTCTTCCTGTTTTCACTATCAAACAGCACAGGGTAAATTAGGTTCCAAGAGGGA